AGAGCGGTAAAAACTCGCACAGCGTTTCCTAAAGTACATTCCTTACTGTATGTCAAAAATGATCCAATTTTGTGATATCATTAGTGATAAATGATAAAATGGTGATATCAGTGATAACGACAAATAAGAATGGCTTAAATTCACGCGGTCGATTTCCACGTTCATCTTCCATATAGGTGCAGAATTTCAGCCCAGGCTTCGGCGTGAAGCGAGATGAAGCGAAAATGCCATTTCAGGTAAGAACTAGCAGCAATGGCATGTGCCGATGAGAAATCGATCGATTGCTGCAGCGAGGGATCTACCAATTGACCGAACAATAGAACTAGGAAATCCTGTAGATCTCTTATAATGAGAGAAAGAGCGATAGAAATTCACACAGCGTTTCCTCCACTACTTTTCTTACCATGTGCCAAAAATGATCCAAAAATATGATATTATCAGTGATAAATGATAAAATGCTTGTATCAGTGATAAGGGTAAATAAAAACTGCCCATTTTTTCGCGATAGTTTTCGATAATGGGAACTTCGTACCAGAATCTCCTATTCGCGATTTACACGGTGATAGATGTTCACAAAAGCCTTAACATAGAAAATAACAAGGTATCACCATATGTCTACCGTGTCACTATGAATTACGGACATATTGTATACCAGAAGATTCGTCTCATCAAGCTGAAGCCAAATCTTTACGCAGATTACAAATAAAGTTGTTCTAAAAGAAGTTATAGCTCAATCCCGCGAATCCCGCGAATCCCGCAAATCCCGCGAAGTCGCAAATCCCGCAAATCCCGCGAATCCCGACAATCCCGCAATTTTGGACAAATTCTACCGCTGCAACTGTATTGGGTTGGCTCAGAAGTAAGCTCGTTTTGGCATGTAAATCTTCATAGATATTTGGTCATTGCTCGTTATCCTTGAATTTTTTTTTTGCGTTGAAGTAGTTTGAAGCTCCTACCATTACAAATCAACTACCTGGTTATTTTACTTCTTTGCTTTTTCCATCGAGAACTGATTTCTACTTACAGATTTATATTCCAATTTTCATTGAAATGCTCCTTTTAGATAACAACAATGAGAAAAATTTGTCTGCAACATTTGAGGGACGTAAAAGCGACGAAACCTATCCATTAGTCAACCATATTATGTAAAGGGAAATGTCAAAAAAATATAGCTGTTTACTGTAGCGGATATCATGGATTTTCGATAAGCAAAAGATTAGGTTATTAAACTCATGCTATCGACGATTATGGATAATACTACATAGATTATAAGTATGTAGATGAATGTCTCATAATTTTTTACCGTTTTTGTTACAACGGTCTTTTTCTTTCCTTCAATTGATATCGGATTTCTGATCATTCGAGAGGGCGAGCAAGCTCTACAAGATGGCTATTAAGATTCCGCTTAAATCGTAGTTCACATGAAGTTTGAAGCTGATATCTGATAGTAGTCAAAATGAACCTTATTGTCAAAAATCGTATCTCCGAAAAACTCTCAATTCCCCATTTATCCCAGCATATGCTTGACACATTGGGCATTCAATTGTACATTTTCCGCATTTTTTCCGTGGCTAGAAAGAAAAAAATGATTGGAGTAAATTGGCAAACTCCGCCCCTGATATCTTGCCTCTCATACACGTAATTATGTAACTCATACATTCAGAAGTACGATCATGTATTGGTGCCCTTTGTACGTGCCCCAGTTCTCGAGAAATGCTGGTTTTCAGGGTGAAAACCGTAAAGATTTATGAGACAGCCCAGATGTTGGCGAATTTGCGTTGAAACATCGAAGCTCGAGTAATTTTCTTTTCTTCCTTTTTTCGAACCAGGTTCGAAACTCACAGTGTCAAAAATTGTTCGCGCAGCTATAAATCAGACTTGAAGGTGTCGTTCTCTTAGGTGTAGTTTAGTTTGCAGGAATGCAGCCTATCTTGCGGATTTGGAGTCATAGAAAATAGAAACACTGTCGTTGTTGTACAGGTCCTTCAAATCGCGGCACGTCGCTTCAAGCTTCTTATCTTTGTCAAATTATCGCCGCAAAAAAGGAGAAGATCATCTGAGTTTTGCTCTTCCACATTAGTGGCCAAAACATGAAACGTTGCAACAATAACCAAAATCATGGATTTTAGTCTTATTTGAACTATTACTTGGGTTGACTATCAAAAAATTCAGCGAAGAATTTCTCACAATCACTGGCATAAGTCTCTTCTTCGAATATACTCTGCGATTTATCGTGCAGGACTCATTTTGGTACAAAGGACAGGTAAGCTTCTTGCGGTTTCTATCACGAATAGTCTTAGATAAAAGAATATTTAGAGGAAAGAAATCTCATTCCATCTTGCCCGTCGACTTGTTGGACTTCAACCCGGAGTGGCGCTTATTAATGACTCGTTTTATAGTAAGCCGCACTGTAAGTCTTAGCGTTTTGAGAGTGATATACAAGCAGCTGCACAAATTCGGTGGAACTTTTGGTCAGGAATTAGCAGGAAAATACTTCTTCTTACAATGTCAGAAAAGAAAGTAAAGCCATGTATCCTCTGTAAATTTTGAGAACCTAGAAGCTCGAAAGAGCAACATTCCCATTACCTTTGTTTGCCACCGATATACTAGGTTGTGACATAAGTCTTGTACAAATTTTTGGAAATGTGTAGGTTTTCCCAAAACAATGAATCCGTCTTTATTTATGATCGAAAGAGGAAATCATGCGCTTTTTATAAATGCTCAAAACATAAAATATTGTAATTACAGAGTGGCGATGAAAGTTGTTAGAGACGAACTACCGAAATGGTTTGTATACTACATTGTATTAGGTCATTCCGAAAGTAATTTCGCTTTTTTCAAATGGGCGCCACATTTAAAGGAACGAAGTTTTCTTGGAAATCTTGGTAGCATTCGATGCAGCATTTCATCCTCTTTCTAGCAGTTATGAAAATGTTGCAGCACAGTCAATGAGCTTTCAGAAAATGACCAAAATCTGCGACCTATGCTTTTCGAGATGGTCAAGTTTCACGATTTTTTAAAACTTTCATATCAATCCTCAGGATGAGTTCAAGTAAGTATTCGATAGAGTAAATCTTATAGAATACAGCATTACTTTTTTCTCCTTTCCATAGCTTGTCATGCATTTTTGACAGAATTTTAACTGATGCTACCGATTTCCATATTTGGGCAGCTAAATCCTCGTAGAACATCAAAAGAAGAGCAGCTCACGCACTATTCAATGCAGCAATTTCTCCTCTTTTTAACGGGCGCTTTTTATCTCCGATTCGTTTCATTTCCGGGGACAAAATCATCACAACTCATTGTTTTAGCGAGCCCAGGCTGTACCCGAAAAACTCGAAATTTGGTATTTCGAATCCATAAATTCTCATTTGCTTAATAAAATCAATATTAAGTCAAATATCATCTTGAAAGCTTGAGATTCCAAGTAATTACTGATGTTTGGTGCAATTGTGGCTGAGGTGGGCCTGCCAAAATCCGATGGTTCTGTTAAAAAATCTTTTAAAAAATTACGGCAAGCTATGAGAAGAAGAAAAAAATAGTGCTGTATTCTATAATGTTTACTCTACCGAACCATTACTTGGATTCCTTCTGAGGATTGACATGAAAGTTTTGAAAAATCGTGAAACTTGACTATTTCAAAAAGCATGGGTTGCAGATTTTGGTTATTTTCCGAAAGCTCATTGAGTACGCTGCAACGATTTCTTGACTGTTAGAAAGAGGATGACAAGCTGCATCGAACGCTACCAAGATCTCCTAAAAAACTTTGTTCCTTCAAATGTGGCGCCCATTTGAAAAAAGCGAAATTACTTTCGGAATGACCTAATATATTCCACTATTTTTTTGACTACCAGAAGTTGTAATTTTTTGAAATATGAAATACTAAATACCGAAATATGAAATACTACATATCTTATATGCAGCAAACAAAAACGGATGCTTAGGCATTTTTGCGATTTTTTGGAACTTTTGGTGCAGGAATTAGTTATAACGCTGTCGCAAGTTTTTTTCATAACTTCGCATAATTCGCAATCGGAGGAAAACCATTGGTATAAGTATACCAAATAATAGCTTGAAATCTGACTGACAGGAAACCACGTTTAGTCGAAATGGCTTTTTTAGATGGGATGTATACCACCAGGAAAGCATAAAACGCTGATTTCAAATTTGCCTTTCTTACTGCGTAGATTCATAGATGAGAAGGTGAGCTTTTATTGAAATAAAAAATTACGTGTGCATTATTTCTAGTGCTTGAAGGCAGCGTCCAGGCAAGTCTGGACACATAAGGTTCTCATGTGGATAGTAACTTGGGGGCCCTAAATAAGCCACTGCCCAACCAGCAGCTCAGGTAGTGCTCTAACGGCTGAGATATTCCGCTCGAAACGACCTCAGAATCGTATTTCGCATGGATTCATGGCGCAACGCGTGGATTCTCGCGCGAAACTGCCATGAATCCATGCGCATACGATCGCGGGGTCCAGTTTTGAGGGGAATATCTCAGCCGTTAGAGCACTACCTGAGCTGCCACTTGGGCATGCCTTAGTTAGGGCCCCGAAATTACTTCTCACGTAAAATCGACATAGGTCCAAATCTGCCTGGACGCTGCCTTTAATGGAGCAATGGTGATTGTCAGAAGACCTCATTCAATAAATAGTCTCAAAAAGGGATAGCACACTTGGTCGCTTTACTTAAGAGCTAGGGGGTTCAGCAGCTTATTTTATCTAGCTGCACTTTTTCTTTTTGCTCAATAAACCCTCATACTCCCTCTTTCACAAACGTTCCGCAAATGAGGAACCCAGATTTGGAATCAGCTTTTGATTCTCTCCGGTATGGTTTACATCCTATCTAAAAAGGCCATTTCAGTTAAACATGGTTCCCTTGTGAGTTGAATCCTGAAAATGACAACTAAATAAAGACTTTTGCAGGTTCGTTGCGATTAAATCCGTTATCCGTAAAGGAAGCTACGAAATTACCGGAATATGAAGTAAAGAAACTTTTGGAATGTCTTTTTGCAAATGCTATGCGATTTTTCGTGCTGTACTGCATGCACGCCGTTAGGTAAGTCTCCACTTTAGACTTGCGAAGCCTTGTTGATTGAACAAATTCAGAGATCAAACAGTTCTGAGGTTTTCAGACGATGGAAGCGCTTTCTTTCGTTTGAAGGTGACATATATATATAGGAAATGCATTCCCGGAATCTGTCAACTTTAGTATATTTTTATACAGGATCCGCTCGCTACATCCGCATTCGATAAGGAAGTACATGCTCTCGGCCCCAAGTTTCATCTATGCGTGTCTGATGAGGTACAAACTTTTTCGGTTGTGCGAGCAGATGAAGGAAGAGCCTTCTTTAGAGGAAAAGTTTCACACGTAAAAGCTAATGTAATGATTTCCACTTGCAAAGAAGTTCTTTGATTGCCTTCACGTTTAGTTCTTATCTAGCAGTCTTGATTTGCTAAACATATCAAGTAAGCCAAGAAGTTATTATATTTCTAGTCAATCGTTTCTTGGCATGTAGTTCATGTACAAAGTGAAAGCGGATGTACTCTCGTATGTGCTACTATATGTGAGTACATAGGGGGGAGTGCTCTAGGGCCAAGGAGGCGGATTTTGCCATTTTTTAGGTTCTCTTCTTTCCTTATTTTCTTGCGTAAGCTTTATTCAACACTTTTTCTAAGTTAGAATTTAGCGAAAACCGTAAGAGAGTATGTCAAATTCCAGCCGAATGTTTTAGGTCATAAACCCTTTTATAAATTCATTTATCTTACAAAAACAGAAGTTTTTACCTGCTTTCTAACGATTATTTGAATGTTAAATTTTTCGTGACACTATTGGCGCAAAAATGCCAATGAAATTAGCATCGACATTCAGCCAGGTAAAATGGAAAGTATCCAGAGTTTTTTGAAGAAGGTAGTTGATATTTTTTGACTTGAAGTGGGAACCAAATTTGTCGCTTTTCACACAGAAATAAGATAGTTTGCTGTTAGAATCCAAAAAGCAGCCAGCTATTTTGAGATGGAGCCTCATGGAAAAGAGGTTTTAATTGACGTATTCTGGCGAATTGTGCTGCGAAGATGTCCTATTTTTCAGTTTTCAAAATATTTCCAGAGGATGAAAAGTTGTATGCCATTGAGTGATCTCTATACATCAACATTTGACGATTGGCAATCTGGAAACGACTGCTCATCGCTAGTTTACCAAGTAAGGATCGTTTATACAAAAGCTTTGGCTTTTATCTTATCCCTATCAGATTGCACATCTTCCTGTAGCGGAAATTACTAGACTGATACTTGGAGAAAAGCTATTTTTCGAGCTTGCTTCCGAGTTCCCTATCTTTGTAGCCCAACTGAATGAATATGCTAGATCTTTGAAACATTTTCAGTCAAGAGAGCGACACAGGTAAGGCTAAGCTCTCTTTTTTCTAATTTAGAGTTATTGTACTGTTTTGCAGGCAATGCAAATATGCAGTGACAAAGTAAGCTTAATTTCTAGTGGTGCTTGAACCTTCTCACATAGTTTTGTTGCTAACCTGTTTTGCTTGTGTTGCAGAACAGAAATAGAAGTGCTTCGCACATCCGTAGTAAAGGTTTACGTGGAGAGAGTGTTGTTAGCTGCATCTGACTGGTTTGCGTTTGAAAAGGTTGGTCAGCACTTAGTCCTTTTTAGAAGTTATTTGGCGCAATTAATATTATCAGCGACTCTAAGCGCTTGCAATTTCAAAATTAGTTTTGCGGATAATGAAGAGTTGCCAAAAATGATTTTTATGACTTTTCACATCAAATGCCAACAAATTTAAACGATTTTACATCTCCGCTCCTCTTCATTGGCAACATCCAGACAATTCTTCGTCTTCCATTTTTGGGCCTTTCCGTAGCCCTTATTACAGTGATGCAGTGAACAATGTTCCAGATCTATTCTTTCTACTCAGAGGCCACGTTAGACGGCCCGAGCACCTAGATATTCTAGTCCAAGAGCCTTCTTGTGGACTAGGTACTAATCGGGGGAACATAGATGTTGCCTGGACGCTGCCTCTGAGGTCCTTTACGCGTATATAACATCGCGAACTAGATTCTATTTCTGGAATTTTTGCGCTAAAATATTAGGTTGGCTAATAAATAAGTTCGGTCGCTTTTGCAGCTCTCAGAGATGCTGCAGAAAAATTTTTGTCCAAAGTTTGGTGTCTCTGGAAAGACCACTTCAATGGGTATTGGAGCATATATTCTATTTGAGTGAGACTTACCTTCCATAGAAAAAAATCCACAAAGAAGTGAGAAGGCGCAGTTTTCTCATAGTGCGCAAATATGAGAAAATTTGGTTTTCTTGGTGACACATTTCAAAGTTGCATATCACAATTTGTCCTGTTATTCACTAAATAGGGAAAACTCCTGGCCAAAAACCAAACTGCTCTTCTTTGAATTCATTACAGCATGAAAACGAAGCTTAGGAAGTCAGAGAATTGAGCTTTTGGAAATTGCGCCATGTTGAGACATAACTGTCTTTACCGACTATAGAAAATCCTGATTATTTGATATGTGATAGAGGAAGCTTTAAGCTACTTTCCCACAGAGAATCATAGATAAAAATCAACAAGAAAATTTCTAATGAAGATTTGTATGCCATAACGAACTTATTTTTAGCCAACCTAATACTTACAGCTGTGTATGAAATCAGCAAGCCTACTAATTTTCATTTTAGAAAGTTAGCCTACTTAATTATATTGCAAAGTCTTTGCGCACATGGGTCAGACACGAGAGATTATTCAAAGAAGCTATGTATGACATGCCTTATGAAGAATATCGTGAGATAGTTTTGGTTTCACTGAAATATGAAATAAAAACACACGTTTACTTTTAAGACTCGCTGCGAGTTTTTTCGGAGAAACATGGAGCTCTTCATCCACTTTCAGAAGAACTTCTCAAAGAGATCTCGACAAGATTTGATCACTTTTTCCTTATCTATGCGATTCATGCTCTCAGGTATTAGTGAAAAACCAGTTTCTTTCAAAAAGTGCATTTTTAGAGAACATACTGACGCTTTCGTAGATGAGAAGGGTATTGTGAAATTTCGATTTAAGGAACAAGATTCTAACGCTTATAGAACGGTGAGGATGTCTAATTTTTGTGTTTTCTCTCAGTGTTTCACTTAATATGTATAATTCAATAGACTGAAAATTGTCACGTTACATTAGACTTCTTTTTAGGATATCTTAATACCTGACGAAGAACTTCAGCACGAGTCTGTATCCCCTAATGATTGGTCTCATCAGCATTCAAAACATAGTGTCGAAAATCTGGGTAATTCGATTTGGGTAAGCTTAGGTATGATTGAATAACACCGTTATGCTGAAAAAACACCAAATAAAGAAGTTTTTCTAAATTTTGATTTTGTTTCTGCTTTTTTGAAGGCAGTGTGTCCGGGCAAAAACTCGATTTTGAGATTTTGTGCTTACCCGGGCAAATAGCGTGATATCCTCGATATCTCTATCATTCTGAACAAAAAAATACATAATCTTTTGAGGACCATGCAAATAAACAAGCTTTCTTTGAAGAGAACTAGCAAATCCCAAAACTATCGCAATACCAGATAAGCACAAGCTGAAAAATCCAAGAAATCTTCATTTTTTAAAAGATCTTATTTTCCTTTTAACGTCGGAGAGTGGATGGGAGCAATCAAGGAATATCTCAAGTATATAACAGTAAGAAAACTCGTCAAAATTATTAATTCTTCAACAGTAAGAAAATAGTAGTCAAAATTATAAATTCGTGACCTAGTGGTTTAAGCGAGTTAGATAAGCCAAAATATTATAGGTCCAATAGATTAGATAGGTCGATGATAAAAGATGAAAATATGCCACATAAGCTGGTATAAAAGGGATGGCGTAGATCACCAAGTCAGAATATTTTATTCTAATCTGCACAACTGCCAACGAGATCCTTAGGCTCCTAATAAAATTGACCACTTCCCTCAGGTAATTTGAAAATGAAAAACCAATAGTGGAAAATTTCAAAACACATGAACCCGTTGGATATTGAAAGATGATTCAGATTTTAGAAGAAGCAAAAGAACCATCCTTAATGGGCGCTTCAACAAAACCGCATTGATGTCAAAATCTGCAACAGAAAAAACTATACAATTTCCAATTTATTTTTAAATTTTTGGAAATTTTCCGGTATAGTTTTATACTCCACCATTGCATTGTTTTTGGAATTTTTGAATTCCTGCCGTTTTGAATGATTTAGATATTAAGGATATCACGCTACCTCTGAGGCTGAAATTGCACCCAGCGCGACGAACTGCGAGGACATTCCTTGGCAGGAGTCCAGACGACGAATTATAGGTTGCTGCATGATGCTGCACAAAGGCGCAATACCTTTGTGCGCGAATGCGGCTTTACTAGCCACAAAGCGCATCAGCTGCGGCAACAGTTGGCTGCCCGGCTACCACTTGCAGGCCTCCCGCGATGTCAGGACGGCTAGCGGAATCGAGAAGACCGCTCCGGAAGCTGGAAGCATGAATTCACGGTGAGGAGCACCCTACCCACCGGCTGTTCCCCTCCTGCGTTAGAGCCCTTTTTCGCCGTTTTCGCGCTTTCAGATGTGGATTTTCGGATTCAGCATGAGGAATAGGCCTGGATAAGCCCAAAATCTCAAAATCGAGTTTTTACCTGAACACTGCCTTTAAGGCAACAGAGTTTTGTAGCCCTTTGGGGAAGGTACTGGTACCTGGATATTTTAAAGGATTGAAGCTCTCAATTAGCTAATCTATTAAAGATGTCAAAACCATTGCTCATTCAGTAACCTTTTTTACATGTCAGGACCCTATGCTTCACCTTCATACTACCTCTGGATTCTTGTAGTTTTATTGTCGCTATCGAGAGTAGTGGTCCATGTCATTTCCTTAGTGCTAACGTTGGCAAAATTTTCTTTCCAGTTCTAAGAGTTTGTTCTCATGTCTGGGCTTTCGATTTGGAAGGTGATATATACCCATGGATAGAGCTTTTGCTGATGCTCGACACCTCTTTATCTGCGATGCGTTTTTCTTACAAAAACGTCATGACCTTTTCTTATGTCAAATTGTCGTGTATTTTTGAGCGTAAAACGGTAGTTCTCACACGAAAGTATGCACGCTCAGGCAAACCACCTAATAAGCATTGTAGCAATCCGATACGACTGAACGTTTTCGAGTATTGTCCATCCATGTTGTTATTCACGGGTCGCCAATTCCCTTCCCACACTTCCATTGTAAGCACAAAAAAGCCCATAACTTGCTTTATGTAGACGGTTCATAGATATAAGCTGATATAGAAGCTATATTTGAAATCAGCATTTTAAGCTTTATCCAACTATACATCACTTTCCAAATCGCCACTTAACCAAGCGAACTTCCCTTGTTGCAGAACCCCCCCCCCCCTTCCAATCCTCCCCACCCCATTCTCGCATAGTCCTCCGCTATGGAACATATTTGTTCTTATGTGGAATGTACAGGAACTGATTGAGGCAACTTGACCATAAGTGACCTTTATTTTTGTTCCACAAATAAAATTATGTGCGCAGGTGGAGCTTTGTTGCCGAAGCTTAGCCACGAACAATTATTAGGTTGCTGCATAAGTTCTGTCCGATTCAAATTTTTTGAGTTTAAAATGTCATAACTCCCTTCAAAGTCAACATTTCTCCAAGATTTTAGTTTCTATGTGTTGAGTAATTCCTTGGCTGTCAGACTCATATTGAAACCTGCGAAAATCTTCGTAAAGGAAGGAGCAAGAACTCAAAAACTTCACAGCGTTTTTCTTCAAACCTGTCTTTTTTGACATGGCAGTGCTCCCTTATGATTGACATGGCAGTGCTCCCTTATGAGAAATGATAGGCATCTTGTCCAACAATGGATAGATAGAGAATTTTTCGCAGATTATTGTAAAAGAGCCCATAGGGTCTGCATTGCCGAGAGATTTTTTTGACCGAGCAAAAAAGAAGCCACTTTTTGACCTCGCCTCAGTGCATGTGTGCATGCCTATTTACGAGTTACGAAAATTTTACAAATAACGTGAGCGCCGAAAAGAAATTGATGGATGGTCTCTGCTAGCCCTTGCTTTACCCTAGCACATCCAACTTTGAAGTCGTCGATTGCTTCTATTCACAGAAGGTTATAGCTTGTAAAAAATCTGTACAGAAAATTAATGTTTGACAATAAATTTTACTAGCAAGACGTTTTCTTCATGAAACTGAACTTATGCGTATGCTAGCCTGTTACACCCTTATTCCGAAACCGATTGAAAAACTTGACCTATAGGGCGCGTTATGGAGATTTCCTCACAAGAACATATTTCTAGAGTGAGAACGTGCCTCGACCACTTGGAGATTTTAGGCCTGAAATCTCCTTACACTAAGATATTTATTAATATCTAATATTCTTTAGAAAGCGCAAGAAAAGCACTTTTTAATGATACTAACAATATCGCATCAGATATGAGATCCTCTTAGAGCAGCTGCTTCAAACATAAGGCAAAAAATTTCGGACAGAACTTATGCAGCAACCTAATATATTCATTTCTAAACAACGGTATTTTAGTCTCGCACTTCTAAAAGAGTGAGCTCATTTTTAGCCAGATGTTAAAAAGTCCACATCAAAGTTTCGATCCTTTTCAAAATGCCTTTTTGTGTTGAATAAAGTAACTCTCTTTGTTCTCAATCATAACGTCTCGTCACTTAGGTACCATCTCAAGCCGATGAAGCCAATGTTCTTCCTTCATTCAAGCTTGAATCGGCGAAATCACTGGAGATTGTGGAAGTAAGAAGGCCATTTCGATTCATACTTCGTCTCATAATCCTTGATCCTGTTAAATTCAGGCAGAAAACGATAATGATGAAGAATGGGAGATGAAGCTGTTCGAAAGGGTAAGGCAGGATCCGACTGTGCCGGCACATTTCAAAACAACTTTTGGGTAAGTTTATTGCTTCCGCTTATTATCATACAATTACCTATTCAAGCTTTTCAGAATTCTCGTGGCCAATAACCGCAACTTAAGGGAAGAGAAAGCTTTTTTGCAATCTCGACTAGGATTGGGTTAGCACAGAGTTGTCATTGTAGTTTTGTGCAAGTGTTTGAATGCCAATTGCCATATTGTTGATTTTTGTTGTCACTAAGAATTATGCTCATATTGCGCAGTTTGGGTTCAGGCAAAGGCGATCATATGCTCGATTTCGCACTAGCCGCCGCTTCAGGCTAGAGGGTGGAATATTCACAACTCTTACGGAGTCCTGCAAACCAGCTTGACGTAGACAGGTTCTCACCGCTCTACTTAACTCTTCCGATACATACGGCAGACAAAAGGGGACCATGTTATCAGACAAATTTGCCGCTCTCCGAACCACGCGAGCTTGAGACTGGCCGCATTCTCTCATGGAATATCCGTTGCTTTCTGCTACGTCGTGCGCCAATTTTATTGATGCCAGACGTTCCTCTGTGCCGGATGCGATCTTACTTGCCGTTCTGAACATGTTGGTGATGACTGCCCTTTTGATTGATCTAGGATGCGCTGAACGACAATGAACCAAAATATTCTTATTACTAGGTTTACGATACCATTTGGTTCTCCATTCTCCTTCCCATAGATACACAAGCACATTGAGAAATGGGAGCCATCTATCCTTGGGCTTTTCTCTAGTAAACTTGATATGAGATGACTGCTGATTGAGAAGCTCGAAGCAGGTGTCTAATTCCCTTTGAGTTGAGCACACTATGCAGCAGTCATCTATGTAGCGGCAGTAAAGAAGAGGGTGTAGATCCAGGACCGGGTTTTCTACCTTGGACATGAAAGCAATGGTTAGTGTAGGGGCTAGCCTCTGTCCCATAGCTAACCCTCTCATCTGCCTGTAGTACTGCCCCGCCCAACGGAAGATGTTACAGTCCAAGCACCCCTGAAGAAGCGTCATCACCTGTCTCGTTGTGAATTAAGTTTACTAGAGAAAAGCCCAAGGATAGATGGCTCCCATTTCTCAATGTGCTTGTGTATCTATGGGAAGGAGAATGGAGAACCAAATGGTATCGTAAACCTAGTAATAAGAATATTTTGGTTTATTGTCGTTCAGCGCATCCTAGATCAATCAAAAGGGCAGTCATCACCAACATGTTCAGAACGGCAAGTAAGATCGCATCCGGCACAGAGGAGCGTCTGGCATCAATAAAATTGGCGCACGACGTGGCAGAAAGCAACGGATATTCCATGAGAGAATGCGGCCAGTCTCAAGCTCGCGTGGTTCGGAGAGCGGCAAATTTGTCTGATAACATGGTCCCCTTTTGTCTGCCGTATGTATCGGAAGAGTTAAGTAGAGCGGTGAGAACCTGTCTACGTCAAGCTGGTTTGCAGGACTCCGTAAGAGTTGTGAATATTCCACCCTCTAGCCTGAAGCGGCGGCTAGTGCGAAATCGAGCATATGATCGCCTTTGCCTGAACCCAAACTGCGCAATATGCCCCTATGGTAAGGATGGCGACTGCACCGCAACCGGGGTAGTTTACCTGATAATATGTCTCTCGTGTAATGAGGTGTATGTTGGGGAAACAGGGCGAGCACTTTCAGTTCGGATCAAGGAACATCTGGATGGCCTCAGGAAGTCAAAATCCTCAACGCTTTTGGGAGCGCACCGCCAAAGGAGCCACGGCGATGCTATGTTTGATATTAAGGTCACGATCTTGTCGTACGAACCGGAAACTGTAGCTCGCAAAACTCTCGAAGCGTTTTGGATAATTGCAAAAAGCCCAAAATTAAACAGGAAAGAAGAGTGCATAACCGTGACACAAGAGCTCGCATCCTACCAGACCTTATGTAATTTTGATCTAACTCAGTATGCGTTGGCGGGCTGCGTTGGCGGGCCCCGGGCCTTAAATATGCGCAATATTCGCAGTGGCCAATCACTTCCTCTCATACGAGTGGTCTTGGCTCCAAAAAACCGCTGTATTACGGTGAGCGTTTGCTTTGTCTTTCCTCACATACTGCTTTTGATCTCATTTGATCTCTTGAATTGATCGCTGTGGTCAGATGCGGCGTCTGAGGGGGTATGTCACCAAATGGTCTTTGATTTCAGGCTCCGAAGGCGAGGACGCCGAAACGTCAGCCATCAATAAAAAGATCATACCATCTTGGCTTAGCTACAGCAAAAATCATTATCGGATTACCATGCCAAAATTCAAAGAAGGTCGAACCTTTGAAATTTTGAGACAAGAATTGTATCCCTCGAATGAAAGAGGATGCGCCGAGAAAAGCTCCTAATTGCCGAAAGAGTAATGCTGTGCATACGCACTTAGTAAGGTTATGTTGTTTGAGCAGCGATTCAAGGTCTCGACTTTTTCCTCATATATCAATCTTCAGACACTATGCACTTCAAGGATCTCGGCAAATCGTCGACCCAAAACTTTTATTGCTTACCTGTGGTGATCCGACGCGCTGATCCCAAAATCGACCTCAAGAGAGCGAAAATACGGAAACCAGTTTTTTCCGTAGCCTTTTTTGTATTTGAATGAATGAAACACTTCGCGCCAAGGTTACAGACGCTGAGTTGTTGCGGAACCCTTGGAATTATACCTGGCTTTTACAGTGGGAAGGAAATTGCGAGCTCGTCCGATAGCGTGTAATTTCTTGTGCGCACGAGTTTCGGGGCAGTTGTCGGGAGGAGCAGCGTGCCTATGAGCATGGCCGTGCTCTATTTTCATATTTTGGAATGCAAGCAACCTGCCCTATTAAAAATCCAAGATGTTCGTTTTGCCGAGCTACTGCCTCGAGGTGCAAAATAGTTTTGAGCTTGCTCTGTGCAGAAAGCAAATATGTATTATGCTTTGCGGTCAATTCCGGCAATATATCAAGTCGTTCCCAAAGTTCTTTCTGTTTTTTCTATCACAAAACCGCGTGGAATAAGATTGGAGAAAGCATTTCAAGAACTATTTCGACGCGGTTTTTCTTCCTCTTTCTAGCAGTTGTGTTCTGATGCCATTTCCTCTTTTGGTCACAAGGATAAGTGCAGAAGTTTTGAACCCATGATTTTTACCATGCCCAAGTTTGAACAATTTTTCACATTTTTTATTTTAAACTTCTGGAAGATTTTGCTTAACAGCTGGATAGAGCAAACAAAGTGCAACGTAATGAATTTTTTGGCATCTCCAGCTAGCTTTCCAAAGTAAACAAAATCATTTTTCTGATGCCATCAAATTCCATATTTGGTTCAGCCAAGTCTCAAAGAACATCAACCGAAGAGCGACTCGGGTGTTATTCGATGCAGCTTTTTCTCCTCTTTCCTTTTTTTGTTCCCGATTTGTTCAAATGAGATGAAAACATAAAAATCGTGTATTTTTAGATTCACTTATGGCTATACTCGAAATCTCAAATTTCGATTTTTCGTGGCAGTAAAAGCTCGAATTAGTGGTAAATGATAATCGAGTTTTGAAACCCTTAATTTCCGAAGATTCCTCGGCGTTTGATGCGTTTGCGTATCATAAGACACTGCCAAAGTGAACACTTCTGAGAAAAGTCTCAAAAAATACTGGAAAGCTTATTGAAGATGCGCAAAAATTTTGTTACATCGCACTTTCTTTGCTCTATTCAAATATTATTACAGCTCTTTCAGAAGTTAAAACCGATTTAGGAAAATGCCAAACTTTGTATGACAAAAACCTCAGGTTTGGAATTTTGGCGATTATTTTGATACTCGCAAAAGCAAATGATTTGGAAGCATGACTGTTGAAAGGGGGAAGAAAATGTGCATCAAACTGTCTTTAGATATGCATCAAACTGTCTTTAGACAGTTTACCCATCTTTTCCACGTGTTTTTATGACAGCTCGCAGGAAGAACTTTCGGAATGACCTAAATTGAAAATCATCTTCTCAGTTGCAAAGGGCATGCAAGGGAATGTAGAAGAACAAGTGTACAAAGCGCAAACAAGAGCGGTTGCAAAATATAAATTTAGACTTCCAAAGTAACGCAGATGTCTGACCTTATCACAATTCGGATAAGGCGACAGATTTTCCGAATTACTACGGTGTGCTTTCACTGGTAATCGCCTCCTGCCTGATGCTTCTTACAAGTAGTTCTTGAGAAAAACATGATTTCTTACACCATGAATGATTTCATACATCAAGAAGGGTAGCTGAAGATAATATAATAATCAGTTTTACGGAGGTATGCTTAAAATTCACTTTTGGGTGCTTCTGCCTTGTGAAAATCGTACTTTTTGATCCAAAATCAGAAAGGCGGAGGGAGCCAAGTTTCGCTGGAGGAAACAAGGTTAAAATTCACCAAAAGTTGCTAAAAATTCACTTTTGTTCGTCTGCCTTTACCTCTTGGAAATTCTACTTTGGCCTTGCAAAAGCAAAGGAAACAGGTCCCGCTAAAAGAAAAGACGAAAGGGCTCTAAACGGCAAGACTGTTTCGCTAAGAATTTGCAGTTCTAAATCTTACAAAAAGTTGCTCGAAATTAACTTTTGGCTCCTACTTCCAAGAACCATAGTTCTGCCCTTGAAGGCAGAGTCCAGGCAAATCTGGACATACGGAGTTTTGATGTGGGAAGTAATTTTGGGGCACTAACTAAGACAGTTCACTGTTTGAGCTGCCCACGCGGCAGCTCAAACGGTGAACTCACAGTTGAGATATTCGCTTCCAGACTGGACCCCGGGATTAGTTATTATAGTCTAGTAGCAAGTTTTTTTTCATAACTTCGCAAGATTCGCAATCGGAAAGAAAAGGTCATCGGCATAAGTATGCCAACCAAAAGCACAAAATTTGTCTGACAAGCGAACAATGTTTAGTTAGAATGGCCTTTTTAGATGGGGTGTATACCACTTGGAAAGCATAAAACGCTGATTCCAAATTTACCTTACTTACTGCGTAGATTCTAGATGAGGAGGTGAGCTTTTATTGAAACAAAAAATTACAAGTGCATTTTTTTCTAGTGCTTGAAGGCAGCGTCCAGGGAAGTCTAGACACATGGGGTTCTCACGTGGATAGTAATTTGGGGGCCTTAAATAAGCCACTGCCCAACCAGCAGCTCAGGTAGTGCTCTAACGGCTGAGATCGCCTCGAAAGCGGACCTCGAGATCGTACTTCACA